AGAGTGTATAGTTTTATACTTTGGCATCTAATAAACCATTAGGAAAGGTAAATTGGAAAAAATGCCCAGTCCAGTTTTGAAGAATAAAATAACCTCTAAATGTGCATTTTCTTCTTAGCTTCTAACTTAATCTTTATGATGGATAAAGTGTAAAATCAGAAACTTTAATAGTACGTAAGGCATCAAATTATATATTTACAGAGATTTATCCTTTTATCAATTTTTAAATATTTATCTAAAATAAGATCTCATAAGCATTCTTCACAACAAGATGTAAAGGTAATTGTTCCCTCCAAAATAGTGATGTTTTTGCTGCACTGTGTAATGCGTTAGGACTATATATCCTCATACTCGTCACTGGTGAAACTTGCAGCTCTAACGTACAAAGTGACTTGAATATTTAATGCTGTAATGATTGTCCAGGTCAGCTTGTTCTAAAGTAACAACATGCAGTAATCAAATGGAGAGCTTAAGGACTTTTCATAAGACTTTTTAAAAGCTTAATAGCACACTTTGTACCAAAATATGTCAGACACTGTGCTGTAATATTTATCTACATTGTAGAGTGTCCACTTTCCAAGTCAGGCAGTGTATACCATACATTACACTAACAGAAAAAGAAACCCAACATGATAATTGATCTCTTTAGATTTCATTTTATTTATTATGTATGTCTTCAAGTTTTGTCAGCTCTTAAGAAAAAGGTAAAACAGTTGCTGTATTCTTAAGTGAGTGCACTAATTATTCACCTCTTCTTTAATTAACTACATGCAGTGTTCTCACTGGAATGGGATAGCTCGTAATTACAACCTTCTCCTTCGGATTCAGTAGCTTGTTTTTATTCCCCACATCTCAAGAGCTTGCCCTTCAGCACCTCAGTTGTCAGTTCTAAGTGCAGCAGATATAAAACTATCTAATACTATGGACAGTTTTCAGGCAGAAATCATAGGCGGTTTTCTTAGTTTTATATACAGATTAGGAATATAATGTATGAAGGTGCCATGTTTAGGCTTGCCAACACTACTCCCTCAGATATATGTGAACCACCGCTTCCATACTTCTCTGGGGAGAACCCTGCATGTGTCCTGTGTGTGCGTGCGCGTGTGTGTATGACTGTGCGGTGTTTTTTGTCAAGAATGACTTTCTAAAAATAAGGACTCAATTTGCTGTTAAAATGCTATTATGTATTATATATATTTTTTTTTTCCATTTGAACCTCTCCTAAGGAGATGCTTTGGGTGGAAGATGCTTCAATAAATAATCCTTATTTCCTAGTCCATTTACTGCATGCAGAAGTATGAACACATTGTGCCTTTTTAGGAAACTGTTGTAATGAAGGGAAGATTTAACAGGATACAAGATCTTTTTAAAAGGTGAAGGAGAATGCTATTTGATACACAATTGTAATGGAAAAGCTACAAATTACCAATTTGAGTTCTGTTGCATGCTGATTCTTACTTCCTAAATTCAGTTTCACTGACGTAGAAACTACACAAAAAAGTGGAGTAAGGATTACAGACACAACTTGATTAATGGTATATTTTTGTGAAAATGTGAAAATATTTGCTGTTACAAGATAAGTGTATGTCAAAATGTGATAATCATGGACACAGAGTTAGTTTTACAAGTTACTCTAGTTCTGATGTTTTTCTAAAACATTGAGTATTTATTATAAAATTCACCATTGCACAGAAGGTCAGTAGAAGACCTCCATGGAGATTATGTTCCTTTTAAATCCTCGTGGCAAGGTTTCTTCCTTGGGAGAATAAAATGATGTGCAGTATTTGAAACTGTGTTTCATAAGACAGTGAATTGCAAATGTGAGGTATTGCTACCTGAAATATTGTTGAATTTTATTGACTTTTACAGTTGGTTAAAATTCCTAGGCTTAATTGATTTATTTTTTTGTAATTGACAAATGGAATGTTAACTGTCCTCTTTGGTGTTGATAGCATATTTAGTGCAGAGCTTAGTTAGCTCCTTAGCTAGCAAGGCACTGACTTAGTCTCATAACTTGGCTTCTGCTTTCAGTAAATGGACTACGTTTCTAAAGGGAATTCACTATTTCAAGTGTTTTGCAAGGAACTTCACTGTATTTGTAACCTGGTTTTTGAAGGCTTAAGATCAATGAGTCCTATTTTAGAAATTAAACCAGTGAAATGACTTAGACCTGTTTTGGGGTGGAAGTGATTAAGAGAATTCTGGTATGTAAACAGTTGTATCAAACCATCCAGCCTTTTTTTATCAGCTGATGTTAATGGTGAAATACTTTTTGTACCTTGTTGCTGAAAATATTTTTGCGTTTCAGCACGTCAAGTTACAATAAAGTTGTTACTTATACAGAATGTGTCTGTGTGGCTTGTATTTGTTTTTTTCCCTGTATGTGTTCACAATGGTTACCTTTGCATCCCTCCTTTGAGAAAAGTATTTTACCAGCATTGTCAATCAGTGTAGTGTAAAATATACTGCTGCCCTTCTGGAAACCTTTTTTTGGGAGGATCATATTGCAGTCTTACTCTGATCTCTGCTAACTTGGTTATTTTTCCGTTTTGACACTTTCAAATAACTTAGAGCTCTGAACCGCTTATAACTTGCCTACCTGAGAAATGACTGCCTTTAAACAGACTCTGTCAGAACTGATACTCAATAGGAAGAAGAGTTGATCCTGTGGTAATGAAGATGGGCTTCATGATTTCAAAAAGATTTGATTTCCTTTTCCACCTACTGTCAAAAACTTTTTATTTCCCTGTCAAGGAGTGTAGGCTCATAACGGCCACATACGACAGGAACGTTGCTTGCATTTGTTATGGGATAAGTGGTATGTAAGAATAATCTATATGGCTAGTTCTTGGGGTTTTATGTGTTCATAGATATTTTTGCAAAGATATGTGGGACTGTTGGTATGCTGCTGTATGTATTTGACTTTGGATTCACTGAACTCCAGAAGACGATGATGTCAAGGTAAGTCACTTTGTTCAAATGGCCTGCATCACTTTTTAATAAACACAATTACCTATCTTGTATTATCTAGGCTGCGGCGAGAAAGTGTCACAGTCAACCGTTGCAGTTCTTTCTAAGGTAATTTGGGTAATGAATAAGGATACAGAGCTGTCATCACAGGGCTGTCTTTGGTATCTCGGCATAGCACATTGCTGTTTTGTGTGTAGGTACATGCAAAATTCTCCATGTTTGCTTAAAACGTATGTCCGTTGAGTTACTTGGCAATGATTGAGGTTAAAGTTCCTCATGGGACTTACATCAACAATGGCATAACTTGCACCTTCGCAGGCAGTTTCAGTAACCTCCAAGGTAAACGTGACTGGTTGCCACTGTAAATGGTAATCGAAATTATTTGTGCAAGTTCAAATTTTTCAACACCTTCAGCTTTTAGGTAAAGAATATCAAACTTTTTTTAGAAGGCTATATTTTTATCATTAGTCTTTCTCAAGTAATTTTTCTTCTAAGATGTTTATCTTGTCATCGTACAAAAGTTTTGTTTGTTATTCAGTAATATCAAACTTTTTTTTTTAGAAGGCTATATTTTTATCATTAGTCTTTCTCAAGTAATTTTTCTTCTGAGATGTTTATCTTGTCATCATGCAAAGGTTTTGTTTTATTCAGTAAAATTGATTCAATTAGCATTGATAAAAGCATCTATTTTCTTTCTAAAATGAATTCTGTTAGTCTTTTGTGTGGAAACTGGGCATATAAATAAAGCCTTTCCTCCTTTTAGTTGAATGCTGCTATTAAAAAGTA